CCCTTTCTCTGTCTTTCTGGCAAGTTGCATGTGCCCTAAAGCAAAAACCTCTCCAAAAAAAAAAAAAAAGAATTATTTTATGTAATTTCATTTATTATTAATTAATTCATTTCAAGAATTATATTAATTAATTAATTAATTATAATTCGACCAGAGAAAGAGAGAGAGAGAGGAACAGTGAGAAGACAAGTCACCAGGTCCAGGACTCAAATTGCAGTCGGCATGTGGTAGTCTAGTGCTCTTAACCACCACCTGCTGGCTCCATTAATTATTTTTTGAAATTTGACCAGAGAGTGACAGAGAGAGAGAGAGAGCATGCACGCGCGAGAGAAGGAAGGTGAGAAAGCAAGCCAACCAGTCCAGGACTTGAACCATGCTCTCCATGTGGGAGTCCAGTGCCTTAACCACCACACCACCAACTGGCCCCCAAATAATCCTTAATGATGGTGAGGAGGAGGGAGTTGCCCATTGATCATACACTTGAGTCAAGATTTGTTCATCACCAAATGACAAAGCTGCCTCCTTTCATCCCACTGCCTCCCTGCTGCTAGGTACCTTTTTTTTAAGGGAGATTTTTGCCATAGGTTGAGTGTACTTGCCAGCAAGACAGAAAGCGAGAAAGTACCCCCCCCACCCCCAATGACCACATTGCAATCCCTTCTCCTCCATTCCCCTCTTGAGATTTCAGGCACACAAGCACACGTGCCTGGCATGTTTTAAGCCACCAGGTCCAGGATGTGAACTGTGGCTGACTACATGGGTGTCCAGCTTCGCAACAATTAGGCCAGCTGCTGGTCCCAGCTAGGTACTTTTGAATAGCATATCTTAAGGGACAGGCTGAGATACTAGATCCCTTCCATGTCCTAAAGATCTGGGTTAAATGGTGGGAACAGAATTGTGTACAACAGCAAAGAGGTCGCTCCCCATTGAGTTGGACAGGCATGTTAGATAAGCACATGGGAAAGTATGTAAAAAGCCCAGGACTATGGTTTCTAGTTGCAGAAGCCTCTCTGGGGAGAAAGTCCTTTTTTGAACATTATAGGCAGCATGGTTTCCCCCAGCTGGATTAAGGGTTTGGGCAAGGCTGTTTCTAAGGTAATAGTTAAGGGAGTCGGATCCCACGTGGTCTTTCTAGGTTCAAATCCCAGTCCCTGTGGCTTGAAAAACATGCCCCACACTTGTGCACGCCTGCCTCAAATCCTGACGGGTTAAAGAAACAGAGAAGGGACTGCCCCATTGGGGTGTTTTTCCCCTTTCTCTCTGCTAAGGGCAGGTGTCCTCTGACAATAAGAAAGAAATAAAAAAAGGAGTCGGGAGACCAGGTTATAGCCTCAGCATTGCTTCTTATTGCAAAGTCATGCCCCTCCCCTGGACCCAAATTTCTTAGGATGCAGAGGTTGGGCAGATGACCTCTAAATCCCCTTTCAGGATACTTGCGGGACTTGTTTTACCGGCCGACACTGCAAGCCTCCACCCCAGCTCCTTCCTCAGCTGCGGGGACCTCATCACGCACCAGGGGGCGCTGCAGGCGGGTCTAGAAATGCTTGCGGTGGGCGGAGTGACCGAATCAGGGGAGCCTCCCGAAGGCGCCGTGATTGGCTGCAGCTGGGCGGAAGAGGGCGTGGAGTGGGTGGGCCGAGCTGCGCGGTGACGTCGCGCTGGGGGCGGGGCCAG